TATATATATATATATATATATATGACAAATAAATCGGGTTCTTGACTAATTTGTCATATATATTAGCTCAGATTACATCTTTATTCCATCCATAAATTCCTACTTTGTATTAGCTTTATTCGATACCGGCAAATTTTATCGTTGGAGGTCACTCCTAGATACGAAGCCAAGACCAGTAAACCCGCCACAAATAAGTTGAGGATGGGTTTACCACAGATATAAAATTAATTCATTGTTTTGCTTGGAAAGAAGGGAACATTATGAAAAGCATTAATGATAAAAGGTCAGGAGAAGGAGGCCATGTAGTTAATTTCAAGAAGAAATATACTTTTTATGTTGCGCAGGTGTGGGATAATTTCTAAATTTCTAGGATAGGGTACACGTTTTTTCTTGTCATTGTTGTGTGTAAATAATTTCATAGGGTTTATGAAATCATTATGTCCTAAAATAGCAGTGCACGCATTAGGTTACCTTCCAATGGGAAAATTTTGAAAAGTACATGTAGTCACAGGCATGTGACCATGTACCAGTACATATAGTCACTAACAGTAGTCACGTGCACGCACTTGTGGTCTGACGCAACATGGAACAATAGTACCTCGTTTGTCTTCATTTTCCTTTAGCGTTCAGCAAAGTCTAGAATAATGCAATGGCAGATATATATGGTTCTCTGTTTTAGCAATAGCGCCTCGCAGACTATCAAAACAATATTGTTTTGCATATTAGTATTATGTGAAAATAAGGTGCAGAAAACAATGGGCTCGTGCATTTTTTTCCGAAGGCCTATATCAAAAGAGCAAACATTGTTATGGATATTTTATTTATAATGTTTGTCTAATTTTTGCCCATGATTGTAGGCTGTGATTGACAATACTGTACATTTAAAAATAGAATATTTACAAGGCTGACTTTTGTCCATGAGTGTAAGTTGTAAACAATAGGTTTGTATAGCAAGAGTTCAAATTAAGTCTTCTTTACAGTAAGACTAGGTCTTTCCTTTGTATTAGTTCATATTCTGTTACGTCGAATGTTACGTAAAATTGTGCATAAATTTGGATTTGATAAACAAATAATTATTTCCTGTCTTAGGTCAGTCTACGTGAATTGGAGAGGATTTATTAGTGCGGGTTAGTTAACTCCCTTACACATGCACTGAATGTTACACGCAAAGACTCGCGATAGCACAACTTATTTCCAGATTTTCACCGCTGTAGATCCCGTAGATTTAATCCCATTTGGAATCAAGATAATCAACACAACAATACAATAAAACGTATACTGACATCATATATCCTTGTAAGTATGCATTTTTAAAAACGAGGCTCAGAAAGTTACTTTTGTACAATGCATCCGTCCATTTTTTAAGAGGGCCAATATCAAGAGCATTGTTATGCATATTTAATTTTTATTGTTTGCTTAACTTTTGTCCATGATTTAGGCTGTGTTTTAACATAATGGATATGTGTAAATAGAATATTTACGCAGCTAACTTCTGTCCATGATTATAAGTTGTAAACACCAGGTTTACATAACAAGAGTTCAAATTGTTTATAGTTAGATTAGATCTTTCCGTTGGAGTAATTCAGTATGTTATGTCGTAGGTCAAGTGGGAAAAAAGTATAAATAGAGATTTGTTAAACAAATAATTCCTTTATGCTTTTGGTTAGTCTGTGGGAATTCGAGAGGAATCATTAGTGCATGTTAGTGCAAGCGATAGTTAACTCCCTTACACATGTATTAAACATTCCATGCAAATGAGTAGCGATGGCTCTTATTACCAAATTTCCCCGATACAGATCCCGTGGATCTAGTACCATTACGAATCAAAATAATCAACGTAATAAATTTTAGAATACAACCTGTACTGTCATCATAAACAAGAGACGACTACTGTGAATCGGTGAACGTACAGTCTCAATTTCCTCCCTCCTCTGACGGTTCATTTTCTTATCACTGGAACATACTGATATTTACTGCCATACGTGTTGATATCAAGTTCAAAATCATACATTAACGTTACAACACTGATGTCGGTGTGTTTAATTCACCGCTATATAACCATTTTAGGGTTTCTCAGTTAATAACTGATTTCTAGTATTATCAAACCAAGAAGAAGTCGTACTGATTATGTTATTTCTTTGCTGCCTGTGTATTATCACTCAATCTAGCCAATCAGCATATATTCGAATTCAGACCTGTAACTGGACAGGTCACAAGTTAACTCCCTTACATATGTATAGAGCGTTCCATGCGTATTAACTCTCGAATATAGTTCGTGTACAATTACCACCACAGAGATCTCATGGATTTAATTGAATTATGAAAGACGTAAGTACTTTATGGATATTTTGAAATGCCAAATGTCTTAATATCATCCAGTTGTATAAAATATTCATGTCCGAATATAATCCTGGCCTTGTTAGCAAACACACAAGTACCAGTTTGACTATACTTCTGACTATGATTGTCAGTTTAGCAAAATGAAATTGCTATAAGAAAAACTCGACTTTACCCTCCTAAACCTTCATAAAAAGAGTAATTGTGCGCACTGTCAATTCAACCAATTAGGTATTCTTCCTTATCTGGATTTCGGGAGAATCTGCATCAAAACAGTTGAAGTACTTTTTGAAATGATTGTACCCCATGCCTTGTTGCGTAGCAAAAAAAATCAGACAAGAACGTGTTTTCTTTACGTGTTTCTTTCGTGCATTTATAAGTCACTTGAACAGACCGGGCCATTTGTAGAAGTGAAAATTTTAGTGGAATATTTTACACACAGTTCCGTAAGCATGTCGTCCTTCTTGGTTTATTTTTTTGTGATACCATACGAGGTGAACAGGTGACATACAGTTCTAAATGTCCCCGTAAACCATTATCTTTTTTAAATTAATATATATATATATATATATATATATATATATATATATATATATATATATATATATATATATATATATATATATATATTCAAGAATTATTCACTGCTTTTGTGATTTTGGATTTTTAAAGTAGCTTTAAAAAAATTCAGTCATATCGCTACGATGTCTGCAGTGTAGCAGTTTATAGTGATGTCTAGCTCTGGTTAATCATGCTGCAGACATGTAGTATGATGTCCTACTCAGTTCCATTATCCTAATACCAGGCTGACCAGTCCTTAAACTAACCTCCTAATGCAGAGCGCCAAGCGAGGCAGGTGTTAGTACTGTTTTTGTAAGGTTTGGTATGACTCGGCCGAGGATCGAACCCACGACCTTCCGATGCAGACGCTCTAATCACTAGACCATCGAAGCGGTCGATTTTATTTATTAATTACGCATACACTTATCTTGCTAAATTTAGAATAGCCTTGGTCACCTATTTGTCCTATTACACTGGATAAAGAACAAAAGCATATCAACTTATTAACCAGGAAAATTTCATCTTGACACAGGTACATACATACTCATGTAAACCATTCTAAAGACGTTACGAAACTAATTATTTTATAATATATAAATTAAAAGTTCAAAATAATGATTAGATAAAGACACAGCTACACAGCGATGGGTGAAATTTCCTGTACATTTGTGGCAGGAAGGTTAAATAGAAAGACATTACGCAAAACAAAAACTAATATCCTGTAGAAAACTCATCTTTTTATGAATATGTAACAACCTTCAAGAAAAATAACATATTTGATATTGAAATGTGCTATCTACTTTGCTGGTAGCAGAGTTTGTATTGCTCTTGGATTTTAGTCCAGAAACATTACGTCATGAAATTATTTCCACGTATAACCTATGTTTATGTATGTGCTTCAGTCGTATTATGTTGATTGGGACACTTTAGTCATCCGTGGTTCTTCTCTCACCGCTAAACTTCTCATTGCACCCCGTTGAATAGCTTCTCAAAAGTCTAGTCTTAACTGTTTATTGTTGTCCAAGGCAGTTAAAGTCTTGATGGGCTCTATGTCCGCTTTGAACTATGCATGGCCTGCCTGGATTCAGTCGTTTGACCCTTGTACATACATTTAAGCAAGAAAACCGACTGGGAATGTAATTTTATTGCATTTTATTTGCATATGAATCTCTAAGTAGAATTTTAAAGATCGTATAAAGATTCTAGGACTGTTGCAAAAATGCTCAGTTTCTATGTTTAATTGTGGCATCGTTACCATGTAAACCCCCACCCCCACAAAAACAAAGACTGACACAGAGCTAACTATGCATGTCTAGCTAACTATGCATGTTTTCATAACGTTACATTACAATGTTGTCACAACAATAAAACAACGTTGTTCCAATAGTGATCTAAAGTATCTGGATGATATAGACGTCCAAAACGAAACGTTCTTTCATTGGTGTAGGTTTCAAATAATGTTGGCCAAGTGTCAGCCAAATAGAAGAAGCACGGCTGGAATAATATGCCATACTATGAGGCGCCGTAGTGGACAAAAGCTGGTCCAGTCTAAACATAGCCGTTGGAATTCTCGACATATGACATTAAAATTTCAACTGCAACGTTCTCTTTGGGCCAACTTTTGTCCGCTACTGCGTCATATGGGGCGCCGTAGCGGACAAAAGCTGGTCTAATCAGAAAATTGCACTTGAAATTTCGATGTTGTATGTTGAGAAATCTAATATCACGTGTTGAATCAAATTGCAGGTCCTTAAAGGTCCTTTTTTATGGTTGAGATTTTAGATTTTGTATGCTCAGTTATACAGTGGTGGTTCAAAGTTATATTTTCTATGTCGACGTTTTACACTTTGAATTCATGATTTAGTGTGTGATTTAGATTTTTAACGTAGCATTAACAATTTTTCAGGCATATTGCTACGACGTCTGCAGTGTGGCAGTTTAAAGTGATGTATAGCATATTGGCATCATGCCGCATACATATAAGATAATATCCCACACAATCACTTTATCCTGATACCAGGCCAACCAGTCCTAACACTAACCTCTTAATGCTGAGCGCCAAAGGAGGCAGCGGTTCGTACCATTTTTTGAAGTCTTTGGCATGGATCGGCCGTGGATTGAACCCACGACCTCCCGCATCCGAGACGGACGCTCTCACCACTTGACCACTCGAACCGTCTATTTTGAATTACACAGCGGTGATTGAAATTTCAATATCATATGTCGAGAATCCCTAATTCACACGTTGTATGCAACTGTTTGCGATGAAAGTTCTATTTGATATATAATGTTAAGATGTTGTAAAGGACCAAATTTTTAGGCCGATCTTCTTTGTTAGAATTAATTAGAGTATAACACACTTAGCTGTATACATGTAGTATTAACGAGATTTATGGGGAAATGGCCACCTTGTTCAAGCCATAAATTACATATTAGTTCTAACAAGGCCAGAAGTTATTAGTTTTTAATTAAGGGCCGAATTTGTTTAAAGTTAAAGAGCGGGGTAAAAGCTTTGTTCTGCGGAGAACTGCTGTTGGTAATCAAAACAGTAGCAGACAGTTGATGATTAAAATAATACAGTGTCTAATACTGGGAAGGCGAGAATTGTTTTAAATCTGATTGGTCACGCTGTAGAAGGGGGCGCAGTTTAAACTGAATATCTTGAGTTTACATATACTGGAGAAAACTTGAAACTTCAGTCTACCACTCTCTATAAGAGAGGAAGGGAGTAAGATCTGAGATTCCGAGGAATTTAAAGAGTAAATTTCTCGAAAATAATTAAAAGTCATCCAAGGGAGAGACGTTTGCTGAAGGTTTTGACAGACACAAAAGCAGAAAAAGAAACGACGCAATTGCATAAATCTCATATTATTCTGTTATGCTATGATTTAATTGCTTGTAGGTACTTGTATTTGCAGGCATTTATATACGTCGTTTATGCTATGACTTGATTGCACTTAGAAGCATGTATTTGCGAAAGTTGTTTGTTGAGTCGTCGATTAATGTTTCTTGATATGGTATACTTGTGTCTAGTTTGTTTATCTGAGCCGCGCAACGATATTTTCTTATACATATGCATTGGCAGTTTGCTAAGTTATAGTCTTGCTTATTGTAGGGATTGAGTAGGTTGAATTCACACTAATTTAGATACGGAATTATGTATCCGACATAACTGTGTTGAGTTCATTTAACTGATAATATTATATTTATAGTCAATGAATGAATTAATGATCTATGTTACGGAAGTAGTCAGAACTATCCGAACGAATCCATTATGTATAATTGTAGCCTTAATGTATAGCGTGGAATTTCATTCATTTACGTATTATGAGGCCGTGTGAAAAGGGCCAATGCCACATGTGGCGTAAATAGCATTCCCAGTCCGTTAGTATAGGAACTAGCCGTGTAGACTGTTTGAAAGTTGATAGAGTAATTTCTGACATGGAGGGGATCAGTCTAATTATGTATTTTCGTTTATGTGACGGAAGATTTAGGCTGTTTGTTTATATTTTCATAAGGAGAGATAGTCTGAAAGAGTACAACCGAAACAGTGTGGGAAGGAAAACAAGTGGGGAAAGGAAAATAACACAGCGGAACGAAGGAAAGGGACAGGTTGGAACGAAGTAAAATGTATCTTGAATTGGTGGAATGAAAGTGGAACGGAAGATGTACGGAAACAACGGAACCGAAGTACGGTCTGAGAGGGCCTGTGGGACAGAGACAGTCAACAGGTTATGTTTTATGCCAGGCAGAGTTATTCGATTACTCGGGCTCGTATGATGATTTAGACTTAAACAGTATCGTCTAGAATATAATTGTCATTGTATTTTGAATTTCCTTAATTGTAATTGTATTTTTTGGAATTCCATAATTAGTAATAAGTAACGAAAGAAGTGTATCTTTCAAACGGTCACTTTTATGTTGTTTATTCTTGGAAATTTTTATTGTTTGAATTTTTATTAAATTTTTTACTTGTGATGGGGGCTAGTCATATTTATTCTATATATTAGTTTAGATTACTACTTTATCCCTACTTGTAGTAGTTTATTCGATACCGTGGAAATTTCACCGTTGGAGATCACCCCATAGACACTAAGCCATAAACTCATTTTACCACAGATGTATCATTTATGTATTCAGTTTATGCATTTACAGTTTGAAACTTATCATTGGGGGGAGGGCGAGTGGCCAAGTGGTCCAAAAACCTCACCGTGCCATCTCACCTCAGTCTGCGTGGGTTCGAGTCAGTCTCGGCTAACGTGGGTACGTGAGAAAGCCTACAAGTATTTTCTCGTGGGTCGGTGGTAATTCCCTGGGTTTTTCAAGGTTCTTCCTCCACCATGCATAGCTATCTTGTGCTGAAAAATGGCGTTAAACCCTAGAACAAAAAAAAATTATAATTCGTGGTCCGAGAATTGCTAAGAACTTCTTCGCTAGAAGTCTGGCTGAAAGAACCACGTTTATATATATATATATATATATATATATATATATATATATATATATATATATATATATATATATTGTTTAGCATATTGCTTAGTATATGCTGTATTAAACGCATCAAGTATCCTGGAACACTACATTATTGCGGTACTTAATGTTGCTATCGGTACATATTAAAACCGTTTTGCTATTCCTGTAATTTTTAAAGTTTATATGACTTTCCCTCTTTTTATTTAAATAATCTTTATAAATCTATGCGCGTAAATGTAAAGAAAACAGCATAAGGTTGCTGACCCAAATTAACGTACCGTAGGGTAACAACTCTATATTATCGCGGTATTTACCTTACTTATGTATGTTAACAAACACTTATTATAATAAAAGTAAATTTCAATTTGCCTAGGAGAAGGAATGGCCACGCCTGGACAGGCAAACTATTTCCATAAACGACGAAAGGATCAGATGATTAAATTGAACACACGAATGTAATTTAAGTTAAAGTCTATTAATAGCAATATCAGAAATTAAAAACACATATAATTTAGCTCGTAGCTCATTCCTGTTATTATGACGGACATAAATACGAGTACATCTCTGATGCAAGTATTAATGTTACTCATATTTTGACAACAACCAGTATTAACGTGATGCATACAATTATTTCTATATATTTTAATGACAATAAAATTCTTGCATTTACGCTAATAAAATGAAAAGGCTGGTAAGCTTGAACGCTAATTTCGGTGACATTTTAACGAATAAAACAGCCGACTGTTAAATTGTTATAGTAAACTATGGATTGGATTCAGCTGCTAACTTGTTAGATGAGGGCCGAAGGGCAGTAGAGTCAAAACATCAAAAGATTAGATTGGTCGTCTGCAAGATCTAGATCGGAAGGGCCCACCACAATATACACTCACGTACTGCAGCTGAACTTCGGAAGTGAAATGCATAATATGTTTGAAGATTAGTATTCAGATAGAATTCGAATATTTGTCAATATTAATAAAGCTGTAAAAGAACCTTTTTTTTAAAAAAAAAAATTGTTTTGTATTCTTTTGAGTGACACTACCCCTCTACATTTTTCCCTGCCTAATCATATTGAAACACCCTATACACATTCATCTAAATGTAATTAGCTAAAAAAAAGTTATTTTCCCTGTTTAGAACCCCAAACCATTCCTATAGATGCTTTCCGATAAAGTCACTAGCAGATGATATTCTGACAATTTTGCTTGGACGATGGGCAACCTGACAATTTCCAAACACCACATAAACTCAACGGTATATCTTTCAGCATACCACAAATATGGCTGCTGATGGCGCCATTCGGGAACTTTCTGAACGCAAGAGATAGTTTTTATGCACAAATTTAATGCTGCATACACCTGCATAAATATAAAAATTCAAACAGGTCCATAATTTTGGATAGGTATAAAAAGCCAAACATAAGAATATTATTCACTATATATATATATATATATATATATATATATATATATATATATATATATATATATATATATATATATATAACGCTGTGCTTTTAGCAAGAGCGACCTCTAACGAAGAAGTTTCTAGTAATTTTTGACCCATGAATGATAAATTTCGGACTGTAAATGCATAAAATGTAATGGTACCTCATAAATGGATACATAAAAGACATATCTTAACACGCGATATTACTTTAAATTGTTATAGTAAACTTTTTCATTGTGTAATGTAATTATTAAGACCAACAATTTTTTTCACTATATTAAAACAGAAAGTCTGACAAAGCAAACTAAAACGCCCAACCACCGCTGCGTAATTCATCAGCTACAATCTAAAATCTCGACATACGAAATGGAACTTTCAGCACAATGAATGAGATTCAAGCTGTGCAGCGTTAAAATATCAAGCACCGCTGGACACTTCAACAGCCCAAATCCAAAAACTCCACATTCGACATCGAAATTTTAATCGACGCTGTGTAATTCATCAGATGAAATCTAAATAATCGACACATGAAATAAACCTTCCATTCACCTCTGTACTATTCAACAGATAAAAACTAAAATATTGAGCAAGACAACGGAAAGGTCTCTAACTATTATTTTGGAAAAGCAAACATGGCAAAATGCCTTTGGGTAGTCTTCTAACCTGGCCTGTTGTTGAATTCAGTGGTCAATACCCGATTGACGCATCTGCTGTATAATTTCTGAATTACATCTGCTAGTCCGAGAGACACAGTCAAAAGAGATCAGATAATCAAGACTGTTGTCGATTCAAGTGGTCAATGGGCTTATGGAATGTCTGCTACATGATTGACATTTGACCCTCTGATGGACACAGTCACGCAGAGACGGGGTAACCCAGCTTGGTTTTGATTTTTGCTGCCAGTGGGCCATTGTAATGTCTACTTTATATTTCCCTTATGATACACGCTTACAATAGAGTAAGATTAAGGCATATTTGTTTGATTTCAAAAGAGTAATGATACAAGCTGTACCGCATTTAAAAATAAAACCCCAAAAGGAAAAATCCCACCACACTATTCAACCGAGAGATTTAGTTGTCAATATTTATGCCTGTATTTATGTATGTAAATTTTATAACCATTACGATGTCTTGCCATATCAGTTAAGTTCATCAAAACGTCTGGGGCTTTTGCCATTTGGAAAAAACGAATACATCTACAGAAGAGGCACAATAAAGGACATACAAATAATATTTAATTTTTTTTTGTCA